ATTCTCCTCCTCTTCCTCTTCTTCCTCCTCACTTATTCTTCCTCCCAATTTTCCTCCCTTTCCTTCTCTTTCTCCTCCCACGCACCTTCTTCCTCTTCTATCTCTCTTTCTTTTGCATCTCTTCCTACTCCTTTTACTTCTTTTTCTTCTCTTCTTCTCCTCCCTCTTTTCCTCTTCATTTTCCTTCTCATTGTCCTCCTCCTCATCATCATTCTCTTTCTCATCTATCCTTCTTCCTCCTTTTCTTTCTGTTCTCCTCCCTCTTCCTTCCTCTTTTTTCTTTTACTCTTTCTTATTGTTTCTCTCCTTTGCCTTCGCCTTCATCTTCTTCTTCTACTCCTCATTCTTCCTATTCATATCATTTTCATTCTTCTTCCTTTCCACCAATGTATGCCCCTCGTAACTCACTGATGTTCCTCAAAGTCGCCATAAATTTTTGATAAAATTACATTTTGCCTCTAGAATGAGTAATTGTTTCACATTGTCCCCTTAAAAAAATAAAAATGTTGCAATGTTATCAACCATCTTATTTCCTTCTTGTTCTTGTCTCATGCTCTCCTCTCCTTCTTTCTCTTCTATTTCTTGCTCATTTTCTTTCCCTCCTCTTCCTTCATTCTTTTGCTCTTCCTCTTTTTTCTCATTGTCCTCTTCCTTATCAACATTCTCTTTCTCCTCCATCCTTCTTCCTTTCCCATTTCTTTTTCTTCATTCTCCTCATGCTTTTTCTCCTCACTCGTTCTTCCTCCCAATTTTCCTCCCTTTCCTTCTTTTTCTCCTTTGATGCTCCTTCTTCATCTTTTATTTCTCCTTTTTTTTGTATTTCTTCTTACTTCTTTTTCTTCTCCTGATCTTTTTCTTTTTCTTTTCTTTTCCTCTTTCTCCTCCCTGTTTGCTTTCTCCTTATTTTCCTTGTCCTCCTCCTCATCATTCTTTTTCTCCTCTATCCTTCTTCCTCTCTCTTTTCTTCCCTCCTCCTTCCTCTTTTTTCATCTACTTTTTCTTGTTATTCCTCTTCTTCTATTCCTATTTCTTCCTATTCATATCATTCTCCTCCTTTTTTTTCTACTCTTTCTTATTATTTGGATTATTTCCTCCTCCCCCATCTCCTTAATTTTGTTTCTTCTCCTCCTTATTTTCCTCTTCCTCCTCTTTCTTCTCTCATTTCCTCCTTCTTCCTCCTATTCCTTTTTCTTAAACTCTTTCTTATTATTCCTCTCCTTCGTCTTCTTTTTCTATTCCACTTTTTTCCTATTCCTATCATTCTTCTTTTTCTTCCTCTCCACCAATGTATGCCCATCGTTAAAGATTACATTGTATTATTGACTTAGTACTAGTGCTATTTTTCTTCTTCTTATTTTTCTCCTTCATTCTCCTCCTCCTTATTCTTCTTCTTATCCTCTTCTTTCTCCTCATTCTTTCTTCCGCCCAATTTTCCTCCTTTTCCTTCTCTTTCTCCTCCCATGTGAAGCTCTTCTATTTCTCCTTCTTCTACTTCTCTTCTTACTCCTTTTACTTCTTTTTCTTCTCCTCTTTCTCCTACCTCTTTTCCTTCTCAGTGTCCTCCATCTCATTCTCTCTCTTCTATCCTTCTTATTCTCTTTTTTTCTTCTACTCTTTTTATTATTCCTCTCCTTCACCTTCTTCATCTACTCCTCTTTCTTCCTATTCTTATCATTCTCCTTCTTATTCCTTTCCACCAGTGTATGTCCATCACAATAGAGTACTTTGTAATATTGACTTAGTTTTATTCTTCTTCTTCACTCCTCCTCTTTCATTCTTCTTTTTCTTTTTCACTTTCCTTGTGTTCTTTCTCCTTTTCCTTTTTCTTCTCCTTTTCTTTCCCCAATTCTGTTTTAGTTTGTGTTCCTGAAAGCCACCATAAGTTTTGGGGAAAACTCTATTTTGCCCCCTAAAACATACAGAAAATCTCTGTGTGCCTCCCAAATGATTAATTTTTCCACATTGTCCCCTTAAAAAAATTAAAATATTTCAATGTTATCCATCGTCTCATTTCTTTTTTTTTTCCATTTGGTCATCCGTCTGTTTTGTAATTTCTGATTGGTTGATTTGGTACAAAACAGATGGACGTCTAAATGGAAATAAGATGGTAGATCATATTGCAACGTATTTATTTAAATGAGTGAGCAATATGGGATAATTAATCATTCTGGGAGCAAAATGGGATTGACCCTAAATTTGATCTTTCAAGTAACTTCTCTTGTCCACTTCTTCTCCCTCTCCTTTTTACTCCTTTTTCCCCTTTTACTTCTCAAATTCTGTTTTAGTTTCTATTTCTCACAATTCACCAACGTTCCTCAGATTAGCCATAAATTTTAATCTTTCAAGCGACTACTCTTCTTCTCCTTCTCCTTTTCCTTTTTCTTCTCATTCTTCCCCTTTCCATTCTCTTACTCTCTTTCTTATCCTTCTCTTCCTATTTATCCTTCTTTTTCTCCTCCCTTATTCTTCCTCTCATTTTCCTCCTCCTGTTTCTTCCTCCCAATTTTCCTCCACATTTTCTTTCCTTTCTCCTCCCTCTTCTTTCTTCCTCATCCTTCTTTTTCTTCTACTGTTTCTTATTATTTGGGTTATTTCCTCCTTCTCCATCTCTTTCATTATTATGAATCGATTCTACATTAAAGAAAGAATTGAATATTCATTGATCAAATCAATCACTCTATGGTCTGTTTCTTCTCCTCCCTCTTTTCCTCTTCCTTCTCTTTCTCATTGTGCTCCTCTTTATCATCATTATCTTTCTACTTCTTCTTGATTTTTCTTCTCCTCTCTACTTCTTCTTCCTCCTCCTACTCCTTTTTCTTAAACTCTTTCTTATTATTCCTCTGCTTCATCATCTTCTTCTACTCCACTTTCTTTTTATTACTATCATTTTCCTCTTTCTACCTCTCCACCAATGTATGCCCATCGTAAAAGAGTAGTTTGTAATATTGACTTGTGCTTTTTTCCTCACTCTTTCCAATTTTTCTCCCTTTCCTCCTCTTCCTCCTCCCTCTCCGTCATTCTGTTTCTTCTCATCCTCATTTTCCTTCTCCCCCTCCTTCATTCTTCTCCTTCCCTTTTTCCTATTTTTGATTGTCCTCCTTATCACCATTCTCTTTCTCTTCCATTCTTCTTCCTCTCATTTTCTCCTTCTTCTCCCTCCATCTTCCTCCTGATTCTTCTCCTCGTCCTCCTCTTTCCTTTCTCCTTCTTCTTCCTCCTACTCCGTTTTTTCTTAAACTCTCTTATTTTCGTCTCCTTCATTTTCTTCTTCTGCTCCACTTTCTTCTTATTCCTATCATTCTCCTTTTTCTTTCTCTCCACCAATGTATACCCATCGTAAAAGAGTATTTTGAAATATTGACTAAGTGCTATTCTTCTTTTTTTACTCTTTCTTTATTTTTATCCTCCTCCTCACTCTTTTCCCTCACTTATTCCTCCCAATTTTCCTCCTTTTCCTTCTCTTTCTTCCTATTCCTTTTACTTTTTTTTCTCCTTATCCTTCTCCTTCATTCTTCTCCTCCCCCTTTTCCTCATTTTCTTTCTCATTGCCCTTCTCCTTCTCATCATCATTCTCTTTCTCTTCTATCCTTCTCTCTTTTCTTCTTTCTCCTCCTCTCTCCTTCCTCTTTTTTATTCTACTTTTTCTTAGTGTTCCTCTCCTTCACCTTCTTCTTTTTTATTCTACTCTTTCTTATTGTTCCTCTCCTTCACCTTCTTCTTCTTCTTCTTCTTTGTCTTTTTCTTTTTCTTTTACTCCTTTTTCTTTTCCACAAATTTATGTCCATTGCAATAGAGTACTTTGTGATATTGATTTAGTGTTAGTGGTCTTTTTCTGCATCTCCTCCTCGTTCATCCTTCTCTTTCATATTCATCTTCTTTCTCTCCTTCCTTCTGTTCTTTCTCCTTCTTTTCCTTTTCCTTCTCCGATTTTTTTTTTGTTCCATAAACCCACCATAAATTTTTGAAAATTTTCATTCTGCCTTCTAAAAGATACAAAAATTCTCAGTTTGCTTCCCAAATGATTAATTTTCCCACATTGCTCCCTTAAAAAAATTAAAATATTGCAATGTGATCCACCAACTCATTTTTTTTTCTTTTTTTTTTTTTCATTTGGTCATTTGTCTGTTTTGTAATTCCTAATTAATTGATTTGGTACAAAACAGATGGCCGAACCACGAAAATAAAATGGTAGACCACGTTGCAACGTTTTTATTTCTTTGAGGGGACAATGTGGGAAAATTAATCATACTGGGGGCAAAATTAAATTGACCATAAATTTGGATCTTTCGAGTGATTTCTCCACTACACCTTCTTCCTTCTCCCTCTTCTTCCTTCTCTTTTTTGTCCTTTTCTTTCTCCGATTTTGTTTTAGTTTTTGTTTCTCATAATTCACTAATGCTCCTCAGAACGACCATAAATTTTAATTTTTTGAGTGACTATTCTTCCCTTCTTATCCTTCTCTTTCTCCTCCCTCATTCTCTCTCTTGTTTTCCTCTTACTTCTCATTACACTCTTTTTCTCCTCACTTCTTTTTCCTCTCGATTTTTCTCATTTTCATTCTCTTTCCCCTCACATGTTCCTTCTCCCTTATTCCTACTCATCTATTTCCTCATTTTCTTTCCCTTCTCTCTCTTTCTTCTTTCTCCACCTTTTTCTTCTATTATTTCTTATTATTTGGGTTGTTTCCTCCTCTTCCTCCTTATGCCTCTCCGTCATTATGTTTCTTGTCCCTCCTCTCTCCTTGTTCATTTTTGTTTTTTGGTGAACCTCGACGGTGCGAGGGGAATTTCATTGATTAAAAATTAAATTATACCTAACTAGGGGGGACGTATGTACCTTACCCCTCGATGCAATCTAATTATATTAAAAGAATAAGAATTAAAATAAACCAAGCTAAATGCATGCATGATACAATAAGATAATGAGATAAAATAAATACTATGCATGCTATTAATAAGTATTAGCTGCAGCCGCGATGATTTAAATGAGGTGATAGTAACAGCTTCCTCAAGAAAGATATGAGCTGAGAGAGAGCTGAGGAACCAATGCAAGCCATGAGCAGCAGCCATGTTGAGCTGAGAGGATCCAGAATGAGCCACGAGCAGCAGCTGTTTTAAGCTGGGTGACGAGCTGGAACAGTGGTTGAGCTGTGGGGTTGCTAAGTTGTCAGAGAGGGAAGCTATCAGATAAGGAAAATAAATCGACTTCCTTGGACAACTAAAGGTCAGATGATAAGCTATTTGATTTGGCAGATGAAGAGACGATATTGAGATGCTGTTCTGCTTCTCTGATCTCTGATAACGCCTGTATAGACAAAGTGCATTGAGATAGAGAGTCTCTGCCTTGGAGGCCTTATACCAGAACTGTTGCAGAGCAAATTTCTTCCCCATTTTGACGATGTAGAAGATGAATATCCAGCAAGAGAGAGCCATAGTTACAAAGCCCTTCTGACCAGTTAGAAGATATGGCCAGTGAGTGAAGAATGAGAGGCCAAATGCACTGATTAAGATGAAGCAGCGGCAAAGACCAATGTAGAATATAAAGCCCATAGATCTGAAGAGCAAGAACCCCAACAGTCGGAAGCATCAGTAGTCTTCCGTTGCTTCAGAGTCTTAAGAGAGAAAGCCAAGAGGCAAGATGAACAACCAGATGGAGACACCAAAAAATCTCCATGAACAGACAATTGAGAACCTGGAAAAGACAATCGCCAATAGAAAATGTCCAGCAAACACTCATTGAAAACTAGATCCAAGCAGTTAGATGAGTAGCCAGAAGGGGCACCAGAGAAAAGAAAGGCCGCCTTAAAGAAAACCTCAAAATCCAGAATACCTTTGAGCCATAGAACAGAGATTAAGGGAATTATAGCAGCCTCAGCAGAGCAAACAGAGCCCATAAACTTTGTCAAGTTACTACCCCAATAATACCAAAATCCAATTACATCCTGAGGTAACCAGGTGCCTACTATATTCTTTACTTCTTGATCGTCTTTACTTCTGGAGAGAATATCATGTATAAGACTGGACTGTATAAACAGACTGTATTGCTTGTTTGAGATTTTGATGGATGTGCATGCATTTCTGAAACATATTGAGACATAATTCTGATCTGCCTTAATGAACCTGACATGCATATCTGTATGTTGCATCATAAAACACCTAGTTGATGACTTCAACCTTAGAGTGCAAAGATTTAATCTGTCTCTAATCCTGTAGTAGTAGTTGTCGCATATGTAGATGAAGGGAATTAGGATAGGAGTGAATATGAGAAGCATTGTTGCAGACTCCTTGATTGGCCAAAGAGTCTGCAATTGCATTCCCTTCTCTATAAGTATGCTGTATTCGATAATCAAAATTTGCAGAATAGAAAAAATCTTCTGAGAAAGAGCCCAAAATTTCCAAGACCATTTATCATTCTGTTTGATCAAGTCCACAAGAACCTGAGTATCTGTTTCTATGATCAAAGGATAGACTTCTAACCCATAATCCTTCACAAGAAGTAGACCATCCAATAGTGCAAGGACTTCAACTTCCATGTGTGAGCAAGTTCCATAGTAGTATGAACCAGCTAGAACCATTTGACCCCATTCATTTCGTAAAACCACACCACCTCCAGCAGGACCTGGATTGCCCTTTGAGGCACCGTCAGTATTTAGTTTAAGAAAACCAGGAAGAGGGAAATTCCAACAAATTCATTTAGCACTCTTACAAACCACCATAGACAACTTGACACTGAGAGATTGAAGCATAAATTTCTCAAAAGCAGTATCAATAGCTTTGGGTTTGAAAATGCTTATCTGTAACCTGAGCCGATGAAGAATAATAGAGACCAAAGAGATTAGAGACTGCTTTTGATTTTCAAATACTCTAAAACACCACTCCTTCCATAGTTGCCAGTAAACCAGCAAGGATATAGCTCTTATCAAAACATGATTTCTTGATTGCCTAGGATGAGTCCTGCACAATCTGATGAATCTGGATAGTGGGGTCTCTGAAGGGAATACCTGAAACCCAAACATTCCAGCAATTCTGTACCAAAGCTGCAAACTTAATTGACAAGAAATAAATAAATGATTAGCTGATTCATCCTCACAGTAGCATAAACGACATCTACTAGCCAATGAGACTCCCAAAGATTTGAAATTTAAATCCAATGGGAGTGCATTCTTCATGAGCTTCCACCCAATTAACTGCGCACTAGGAGTCCAGTGCTGCTTCCAAATACTAATGGCATGTTCATCCTTTGGACTCCTTCTCCTAGTTAATTCCCAAGCTGTTTTGATAGAGAAATCCCCCAAAGCAGAGGGCTGCCAAATCAGGTTGTCCTCTTTGTCAGAGAGTACAACTCCAGATGATTGAACCTCTTGCAATAGATTCTGATCCAATAGATTAATCACACTTTGAAGCTGCCATTGACCTTGGACCAGCAGTTCAGATAATTTAGGGTAGAAAACTGGGATAGTTGAGTTCCTAAGAAGGAGAGAACCCCCACCCGTCCAATTGTCACACCAGAAATCAACATTTGGACCCACAAGTTTCCTAGAATTGTTAACCATGACTTCAAACCAAGGAGAGAGTGATGTGTAACATCTTGAATGCGCCTGGGTGTTGTGCAATAATAAATGTTTGCCTCCTAAATACTTAGTCGAAAAGAATGAAGACCAAAGGGAATTATTCTGTAGAAGGTTCCACACTTGTTTCATTCTAAATGAGCTCTGCACATCCTCAAATTTCCTAATTCCCAAACCTCTATCCTCCAATGGCAAAGTAATAGACTCCCAAGATGCCAAATGTCTTTTCCTTGTATTTGTCTTATTAGACCACATAAAAGAAGACATAGCAGAATTCATTCTAGCTATGATACCCTTAGGCAGGTTCAGAGAAGCTAGCAGATGTATAGGGAGGGAACATAGAACCGATTTGATAAGGACAACCCTACCCATATTAGAAAGAAGTTTAGCATACCAACCCTCCAACTGTGATTGAAATTTCTTCAATATATCTTCGAAATAGAGTAGCTTGACTCTCCCCCTAATAATTGGACAACCCAAATAGGTAAGAGGTGATTGCTTAAGAGGGATGTTTGCAACCTGTGATAACATATTTCTCCTTGCAACTGAGGTTTTAGAAGAGCAATAGAGTGAGCTCTTCTGCTTGTTCACTCTAACCAGATGATTGCTCATACCTCCCCACAAATTTCAACAGATTAGTCATGGACCTCTTACGCCCCTTCAAAAAAATGAGAGTATCATCCGCAAACAGTACATGACTTAAGAGCCCTACCTGTGTGATATCCTTCTATTGATCCTTGCTCAAATTGGAACCTCAAACCTCTGCTCAATACCTCCTCTGCTAGAATAAAAAGAGAAGGTGATAATGAATCACCTTGTCTTAATCCTCTCGAACTAGGAAAGAAGCCATGCCAAACACCATTTATAGTCAAAGAAATATTCTGATGATTCAGACAATTAGAAACGATGGCAACAAAGTCTTTGGAAAATCCAAAACTCTTCAATGTTTGTTTCAAAAAATCCCACTGCAGTCTATCAAATGCCTTCAATATGTCCAGCTTGACAATAGCATTCCCGGCCTCCACCTTTCTGTCTAGTTCATTCATCATAAACTAGGCAAGGACAATACTATCACTCCTAGTTCTGCCCCGGACGAAACCTTGTTGCTCCTTTGAGATAAGCTTAGGCAGCAAACCACTAAGTCTAGTTGGTAACAGCTTAGTGAAGATTTTGTATAAAAAATTACAAAGACTAATGGGCCTAAAATCAGCAAATGTCAATGGAATGTCCTTCTTGGGTATCAAAGACAGAATAGTGGCATTAACTGATTGTGGTATCACTCCGCCTTGCAAGAAAAAATTAACAACATCCAAAATGTCACACTTAATGACTTCCCAAGCAGTTTGAAAGAACTTACCTGAAAAACCATCAGCACCCGGCGCACTTTGAGTAGACATACCCAAGATGACAGACTTGAGTTCTTCCATGGTAGCCGGGGAGGTGAGCTTTAAGTTTTCTTCCAAAGTGACCAAATTAGGTATGTGACCAAATAACTCAGGGTCCATTATGTGGGCCTCCGATTTATAAAGTGCAGAAAAGAAATCCACAGCACTGCTAGCGATTGCATCTTCCTCCTCTAACCAGTTCCCTTCATCATTTTTAATTCTTGAAATTCAATTTTTTTGCTACTTTGCCTCTTGTGATGGCATGGTACAATTTGGTGTTCCTTTCTCCTTTGAGTGCCCTTTTCATATTTGCTTTTTGCCTCCAATACATTTCCTATAACCGTAGAACTCCTTCCAGCTCCACTTTTGCATTATTTAAAGCGTGATTGTTGAGCTCTGAATCATCTTCCTCCACCCTTAATTCTGCTTGCTACAACTGCTTCTCCTTCAACTTAATGTTTTCGAATAAATTGCCAAAAACTTCTTTGTTCCATTTCTTCAAGTGTAGTTTCAAGTACTTAAGCTTCAAGAATACATTTTCAATCGGATTGTTGGAGTAATTACCAGCCCATTTTTCCTCCACCAGTTGTGCGAAACTATGATGTTCCGTCCACATATCTAGAAATTTGAAATAGGATATTCTCCTTGGAGCAGAAATTTCCAAAAATCTACATATAAGGGGACAATGATCAGAATGAATTCTACCAACATGTTCAATCTCTGTCTTCCCAAATCTATCACCCCACTGCACATTAGTCAATGCCCTATCAATTCTTTGCCACATCCGAGTCAATCCCTGGTGGTTATTACACCAAGTAAATGTTGAGCCAGAGAAACCACTTCTTCTACTCCACTTTCTTTTTATTACTATCATTTTCCTTTTTTCACCTCTACCATTGTATGCCCATCGTAAAAGAGTACTTTGTAATATTTACTCTTCCTACTCTTTTTCATCTCTTCCTACTCTTTCTCCATCTTCTTCATCTCTTCCTACTCTTTTTACTTCTTTTTCTTCTCCTCTTCTTCTCCTTCGGTTTCTTTTTCTCCTCTTCCTCCTCATCATCGTCATCATCATTCTCTTTCTCCTCTATCCTTCTTCCCTTCTCTTTTCTTCCTTCTCCTCCTTTTATTTCCCTTCTCCTCCCTCCTTCTTGCTTATTTTTCTTCTACTCTTTCTTATTGTCCCTCTTCTCCTACTCCTCTTTCTTCCAATTCTTCTCATTCTTCTTCTTCATCATTTCCACCAATGTATGCCCATTGCAAAAGAGTACTGTGTAATATTGACTTTGTATATTCTCCTTCTTCTATTCCTCCTCCTCCTTCGTTTTTCTCTTCCTTATTCTTCGATTCTTTCTCCTTTTACTTTTTCTTCCCCGATTCTGCTTTAGTTTCTATTCCTCGTAATTCCCTAATATTCATCAAAGCCATCAAAAATTTTGGAAAAAATTCCATTTTCCTCCCTAAGAGATACAAAAATTCTCAGTTTGCCTTTGAAATGATTAATTTTTCACATTGCCCCTTAAAAAAATAAAAATGTTGTAATGTAATCAATTGTCTCATTTTTTTTTCTCATTTGGTTGTTCATCTATTTGTACAAAGTAGATGGATGACCATACGAAATAAGACGATGGACCGCATTGCAACGTTTTTATTTATTTGATAGAGCAATGTAGAAAAATTAATCATTCTAGGGGCAAATTGAGCATTTTTGTTGACCATAAATTTCGATCTTTTGAGTTAATTCTCTTCTTTGCTTCTTCTCCATCTTCCTCAACTTTTCCTCCTCTTCTTCCTTCTCCCTTTCCTTTTTCTACTCCTTTTTCCCATTTCCTTTTCTGTTTTAGTTTTTGTTTTTTGAAGTTCACCAATATTCCTCAGAGTCGCCATAAATTTTAATCTTTCGGGTGATTACTCTCGTCTTTCTCCTTCTCCTTTTCTCCTCATTCTTCCCTTTTTCATTCTCTTCCTCCTCTTATCCTTATCTTCTTATTTATCATTCTCGTTCTCCTCCCTCTTATTCTTATCCTCCTCTTTCTCTCCACTTCTTCTTCCTCCCAATTTTCCTTCTCTTTCCCCTCTCATGCTCCTTCATTGTCTTCTATTTTCTCCTCATTTTCATTCCTTTCTTTTCCCTCTTCCTCTTCCTTATCCTTTTTTTTCTTCTACTCTTTCTTATTATTTGGGTTATTTCCTCCTCCCCCTCCTCTTTTATTTTTCTCCTTCCCCTTTTCCTATTTCTCATAGTCCTCCTCCATGTTTCCATTCTCTTTCTCCTCCATCCTTCTTCCTCTCTCATTTTCTCCTTGCCCTCCTCTTTTCTTTCTTTCTCCTTCTTCCTCCTCCTCCTTTTTCTTCAACTCTCTTATTATTCCTCTCATTCATTTTCTTCTTATTTCTATCATTCTCCTTTTTCTTCCTGTCCACCGATGTATACCCATCGTAAAAGAGTATTTTGAAATATTGACTTAGTGCTATTCTTTTTTTTTTTTCTCTTCATTTTCCTCCTCCTCCTTACTCTTTCCACTCGCTCCCTCTTCCTCCCAATTTTCCTCCCTTTCCTTCTCTTTCTTCTCCCATGCTCCTTTGTCCTCTTCTATTTCTCCTTTTTCTGCATCTCTTCCTATTCCTTTTACTTCTTTTTTTTATCCTCTTTTTCTCCTCATCCT